CCCACCCCCACTAGCAGTGCTGGTGCATATGCTCACACTAACATTTTAAAAGCACTCCCAACGGCCCATAATATGAGTACGGTGACAGCCAATCATAGTAATCACATGGGTTTGTTTACAACCCGGCCAGCTCCACTGTCATCGTGCCCCACTATGAAAAATGATCCAGACTGTAAAAAAAACAAAATGTTTATAATCTGTTTAATGTAAATTGCATTTTTTAAACATTTTGGTACATTTGACAGCTTATAATAAAAAAGGAGGGTCTTTATTAAATCAGAGTACTAAATGACAATTAACATGACCTTAGGAAACAATGTAAATGTTAGTAGATAGGCAAATTAAAAACAGAGTTGTAATAAGGTCAACTGGTGCATACTGAAACTTGATCTGTCATCTAGCAGGATTAATCACAAAAAGGGTGAGGAGTTTGGAGAAGGCGGGAGAAGTGAACAATCTAGGACAACATAGCTGATTTGGAAAAAATTATTCAATTCAGCTCACTTTCCAGTTCAGCTATGTTGTCCTAGATTGTTCACTTCTCCCGCCTTCTCCAAACTCTTCACCCTTTTAGTGAAAAACCCCCTAGGTATCAATGACCTCTGCTAATGAAAGGGGTAAACAATTCATTTAATTTGTATCCAGTCAAGAAGGGCTTTGCGCTATGTATTTGTCAGTAAGGCCCCATTTACACTTGGCGATTCGCAAATTGCGCGTTTGTCGCAAATGCTTGCATTGAAAAGCATTGAATCACGGCAAAATCCGCTCCAAAAAGGGTCCTGCTGTAGCGACACACGACCCGCGACAGCAGGACCCTTTGCCCCATTGCCAAGCATTGGAGAGCGATATCGCGCGGTAAATAGCCGCGATATCGCGGGAATTACCGCGCGATAAATCGCTCAGTGTGAACGGGGCCTAAATGTAATGGTGGCTATGCAATAAGATTGTAGGATGAGTGGTCAGTTTAGGTTAAAGGGCATGCAAAGCCAAAACTTTATTTGCTTGCTTTGGATAGAGTAAAAAATGGTTAAAGGAGAACTATGAGGTGAGTGATTTTCACTCAGCCTCATAATCTGAGCCGACCTGTGACAATGAAACTGCCACAGGTCGGCTCAGTAGATCAGGAAGTGAGCAAACACATACCAGCGCTCGCTCACTTCTCGATCCTTTGCCGGCAGAGAGCCATGACAGGGGGGGGACTGGATTCCCCCCTCCCCTGTCCGATCCTCCAGCGCTGACTGGCGGAACGGACGGGAGAGGGGGCGGGCACAGCTGGCTCTGCCTCTGGATAGGCAGATCCAGCTGTCACTCACGCAGCTGGGCGGATCCAGACATAATTGTAATTTTTGTAACAACTCAAAAAATGGTGGACTTCTCTTCGCTTTCTGTACCGGGGCCAATGATCATCAGTACTAATAATGAGGGCTAATCCCCCCAACAGGGAGAAGGACATCTACAAAAAACAGATAGAGGTTTTAACATCTCACCACTCCAAAAAAAAAAAAAATTGGTTTCAGTTACATTATAAATAACTATACAACCAACCACAAAAGTTATTTATTTGGACATAAAACTATAGTTCTTTCCTTCACAGATCACTCCGGTTCCAGGAACACACCCATTATTAGTTTTCGTAAATCCAAAGAGCGGTGGGAAACAAGGCGAAAGGTAGGCTTTTTCATAAATTTTTCAATTTGTAATTACCATTTGTTCTGTTTTATATTTAAACACTTCCATTCTAACAAAAATCAATAAAAAGGGTTATATGTTATTGGATAATTGATCGTATGTGATGTTCCTCACTTTAGAATCTTTAAAAAGTATCGCTGTTTTTAAATTTACAGCTATAAATGTTGCTCCTGATGGGTTTGGAACATTAGTCTATGTTTGAAACAACTAGTAATGCAACAAATACCCCCAAATAAAAAATAAATAAATAAATAATAAAAACAGTGGGCCATATAAACTATTGTTGGTGTGCTAAATATTTGGTGCTCATAAACCGACTTTTTTTTTCTGGATGATCTAGATACATAGAAAGAAAAAATTTACTTCCAAAGCCCTTTTGGTTCAGAATACCCGGGATATATCCAACAAATCATCCCAAAAAAAATTTTGTTTACAGGACTTAATAAACTTTTGATGCTTTAAACCCAGATATCCACCAACTGTTACAATTCCAAAGTAAATATAGAGGCACTCACGGGTCTTGCATGGGGGATAAGTCAAAGCATCAGCATGATTGTCAATGTTTCGATGGAGCTTTTCTAAGGACTGTAAAACAAAACTGAACAGAAAAATAAACCTAAAACCCCACCCAACCAACAACTTCCCCAAGTGATGATAATATATTTACAAACATTATTTTTATTTATTATTATTATCATTATTATCTGTAAATATATTATATATGGTGGCTATATCTAACAATAGTTGGATACTGCATATATGGGTTTATATCATTAAAACTTTGTTGAGTCCTGTAAACAGGTTTTGTTTCGGGGTGATATGCTCCAAAAATATGTATAATTTGAAGTGTTTAAAAAAAATAAAAAGATGCCACAGATGAGAACGCTACTTACTAATGTGGTACGTGTTCCAGGAATACACCCAGGAACACACCCATTATTCATTTTTCTTAAATCTAAAAAGCGATGAGAAACAATGTCCGTGGTAGGCTTATGGAATATATGCTGAAAGAGCCCAGATATGGAAGTGGTTGAGGTTGAGATGGAGGCACAGGGAGGGAATGATTGGAGAACATTGGATCCTCTCTGTCCAGATTTTGGTAGAGGTTTCACCCCACAGGGGAGGGGATTTGTTGTTTCCTTGTGTGGTTGAGTTCTACTACTTGTTGCCCTCCTGCCTTCATCTTCACCTTTGTCCTACATGCTTCTCCCCTTCCTCTTGTTGCATATGGGCTTTGGACTTTCCTCTGGATCTTTTTTTGTTGTATTTGGATGCCTTAACTATTACTAATGTCACAAGACTGGGGAAGTAAAGAGAAATAAGGTATGCAAGGAATATAAAGCCGGCAATTATCTAGAAGTATGTTTTTGCCGAGTGATACACAAATAAGATACATCTTGGTTAATATTTAAGGTACTTGAATGTATTTTTAAGATTTAATTCCTGAGTTTAGTGTCAGTTTAACTATTGGAAGTTTCTTTTACTGTTCAATCTGGAGTATGTATTTATGTTATTACCTCCAATGGCTCCTTTTCCTGCTCTCCCCAGTAGACACCTCACTGAAACTCATTGTTAAAAATGATGGAGAAAATAGTGGAAATATTGTGGAAAAACCAGCATAAAAAATGTATTTGAATGTATAAACTTAAAAAAAAATAATACCATTGACCTAACACCATTATTGTTTCCCTTTAAGACAACAGCCCGCTCAGGCAAACACATGAGCAAGTCCAGCCAGAAAAAGTGTATTATAAATCTGGCACATCAAAGAGGAACTTTACCCGTATATTTGAAACCACAACAAACACACCTTTTGAAATGTTAAGTAATGGCAATCCACAAACACATAGTTCTAGATAATTGCCTGCTTTTTATTCTTTGCATATATTATTATTCTTTTGCTCCCCAGTCTTCTCACAGTGGCCATTTTTTACTAAGGGCAGATGAATCCATCTCCCTTTACTTCCAGGAACTCTGGAACATGTGACTAGGACTTGTGACCATGCACATCATCTCAGGGGAGGGAAATGCCTTTGCCCGAGATCTCATGAGATTATAGATGAGATTTCCCAGCAATGCTCTGCTGATGTGACCTTCCTAGGATGCAACGCTTGGGCACAGCTCATATCACTAATGCCCAAGAGGACCAGGGAGTGGGAAAACAGTAATTATAAGTAAAAGCAAAATATGTTTGTTTAATTAATGAATGTAAGAGGATTTCAAATCAACATGCAGAGCTGCATGCTGAGGTGATTTTTAGTGAAAGTGGGTAAAGGCAAAAAGCAGCAAAAAATTCACCAACTAGTCATACCCATTTCTTAACCATTTCTTGATATCTCCGTCTCACCGTTTGTTTTTTTGCACCATCCTTCTTGATAAATGATCCTAAACTTAAAGAGAAAGAAATGGTGTAATTTTTGAGCGAAATAGACAATGTATAATAACAATATAAGAGAATATAGTGTTTGTATTTTGCAGGGTGCTGGTTTTTTTCTTATATGTGACTGATTTAAGTGCTCCAACACATTGTTTGCCTTTCCACAATTATTATCAATATACCTAATTTTAAAAAAAACAAAAAAAAAACATTATTTAATATATGCATGGGGAACGTGATCAACAGGGAGTGCTCAGTTTTATTTTACTATGTGATTATGAAAAACATTTTTCACTCTTACAATTTCCATCACATTAATGAATTATTTATCAGGGGTTGGGGGGAAAAAAAATTTCAATATTAAGGGAGATTAACAAATATAGGCAGGGTGAGTATTCTATCTTTATTATGCTATAAAATGACAATAGGTTTTGTTTTTTTTGTCGTTCCATAAACCACTCGTCACTTTGCTTTTCATTATTTTTCATCTGCAGGATACATAGGAAATTTCAGTACCTTTTAAATCCAAGACAGGTTTATAGTCTTGCTGGGATTGGACCGATGCCAGGGTAAGATTCTTTGCTTAGCAAATATATTTATTCATATTTACATTATCGATTTTGAAATGTTATAAAAATGTTTTTTGTTTTTTTTTCTCGTTTTCTGTTAAAATGAATGTTTTAAATTTGCCATCTAATTTAACATGCACTTTGTGATACTGAGTTATTATATTTTTATCTAGTTTCTCGTGAATATCCGCCGCCATGGGGCAATTTATCTAGGAGCAGATTTCAAACATTTATGAATGACATAATTGAATATTTAATAAAGGAATGGTAGTTTCTGTTTTCTGCAGTTTAGTGTATCTAGTTAAACATCGAGTTTTATATCTTAAGTATTTAACTTATACCCCTTAACAATTGGTAAGCAATTGTTAAAAATAAAACAAGTTTAAAGGTCAGTCCACCCAAAACTTTTATTTCAGTGTTTGGTAGATCCTGGAGAGTGAAATCAACAGATTGCTTTCTTTTATCTCTTGGGGTCTCTTGGTGTGGTCTGTGCTTGTGTTCCTTGGTCTGTAAACCATGGGCGTCCCGAGGCTGGGGGACACCCGGAGTGGAGACCAGGTGACCCCGCCGTGAGATCATCGCGCATGCGCAAGACGTTGCCGTTCGCATGCACGATGACGTCATCGCGCATGCGCAATCGTCTTATTGACTCCTGTCGGTGGCCATCTTGGTATTGGACGCCGGCAGAGAGAGGAGGGGACGTTCACCCGTTGGGATGAGGTATGTCGCCGGGCCCCCTCCTCTCTCCTGACACTGTCGGGCTCTCGGTCCATAGGGGGTGACACCATAATGAATGTCAGTTATTTTGGTGTCACCCCTCCAATGGTGTGTAAACCCCTGCCATAATGAGGAGATCCCCATCCCCAAGTTCAATGTTTCATTTATTTTATATTTTAAGAATATGATAGAAGTGATTTAAAGCTTGATGGTGGACAGGAACAAAGTGGGAATTATGGCAAGGAGAGCTCTCTGGCGGAGCATGCGGGACATATAAGAGGCCAGACCTCCACTTGTGACTAAAATTATACTTTGGGTGGACTGACCCTGTAATTTATCCTCTCTCTCCTCTTAATTGTTAAAGACGAACTTTATGCCAATAGAAAAGTAACCAATAATAATGCACCTATGTATCTATTAAAATCATATATATATATTTTTCAAATAAGCTAATTTTAATAACTGGATTTGATATCAGACTGCTATAATACTATATGTAGTAGACTTCATGTGCTGATAATAAATGCAATTGTATGAATTGTATGTAGCTCTCACCCACGAAGGAGCCGCTGGACTAACCCGGGTGATCACTAGTTGTCTAGGGGATTTGGTCTTCAGCTGCGCCATTAGCATTTAACCGCCCTGTTCTAGTGCCCACAAAGCTGATATCCACTACAGTAATGCAATGTTGAATAACGTTTATTAACATCTTCACAATGAGGAGAGAGGGTATAGGGGTCCTAGACATCCAGAGTAGTACAGACATAGACTCCAGACCCACCAGTCCCTAAGCAATTCAATGTAGATCCATTTGTAGCACAACCCCAACCTGGACTAATCCATGGCTGATCCCAAGCTAGACTAAACACATGGCAATTCCCTCTGGTATATGTATCCTATCCCAGCATGCACCACTGATTGAGAGAAACCCATTCAATTGGCTGGTGAACTGTACATGCACTCACAGTGCCTGTCCCACAATACAGCAGAGTCACACTCCACCCGGGCTAACCGGATAAATGCCACTATAATCCAGCCAGGTTGACTACAGCCCTGGCTATCACTAAATATCTAGTAGCAACCTCACAGAAGGTGATGGGGGCTACATGTAAATATTTGTTTTTATGTTTTAATTATCTTTCTTTCTTTCTATCTATCTATCTATGTATCTATCTATCTATCTATCTATCTATCTATCTATCTATCTATCTATCTATCTATCTATCTATCTATCTATCTATCTTCCCAGTCTTGAAAAATAAAAACCTGTCAGCTATACATATGATGTTACAAATAAAGTTGAAAAAAACCTAATGCAAACATTTGCAGCATTTGTGAACCTTGTAATGCTGGACCTTCAGTGTCTTTAATCAGTGAAATATTTTTGTCCCTCAGGCTGAACTTCTTTCGCGATGTTCCGGATTTCAGGGTTCTTGCTTGCGGTGGTGACGGAACAGTCGGTTGGATTCTTGATTGTATAGGTAGGAAGCAAATCTGTATAATATCTTCCAGCCTGAGACTATAGGTATTGTGTCTGGGCTTGCTGTTTGTGATAGGATGAATAGTGTGGGAATACATGGGGGGTGATTTACTAACCTAAACACACGCACGCACCAGGTGTGTATGATTTTCACACAGCAAAACGTATTTATCAACCAAAAAGTCTCTAAAAGCATATTTCCACTAATGCCATATATGGAAAAATCATGCACATGATGCATATATAATGCTGCTTTACAGTTTAGACAAAAATGGTTAGCTCATGCATTTACATTCCTGCATTCATCAACGCAAGCAACATAACATAGAGCTAATTTACACCACATTACCTTGCAATTCATTGCAGGGCTTTGCACAACACACCTGCTGGGTGTGTACACACTACAAAGGTGTTTCGATTCCTCCCATAGATCATGCTGGGAGGGAACACACTACAGAGGTGTATACACATTCGTGGTGTGTTTAAAAGGTTAGTAAATCAACCCCATGATGTCTTGAAGTACAATATTGGGGGGTACATTGTTGGCCAGGGCTACAGAAGAATAAGATTTGGGGGTGCTTAACCTAAATGAGTGCAAAATGAGTAAACACTGTGACTTGGCAGTTGGAAAAGCAAATGGAATTCCGGGGTGCATCACTAAAGGGATCTCCAGCAGTATTCACCTATATAGTTGTATTGTATGTTTAGTTAGATCTCATTTAGGATACTGTGTCCAATGTTGAAGACCTCATACAAATATATAGATTGCGTAATGAGTTCACAGATGGGTAATAAAAATGGTGAATTGTCTGAGGGATAAAACATATAAGGAGAGACTGCAGGAACGTAATGGGGTTGAAGGCAAACAGGCTGTTCACTTTGCAAGGAGAATTTTTCCATATCTTAGTGAATTAGATAATTTCCATCATCTAATTTGTTTTGTTTTTAATTTCCCTTGCATGTGGGTATTCTTTGCAAAGGGAATTTTCATCGCATTCAAAAAGGAAATAGAAAGTTCTCTTGCAAAGTGCATATTCCATTGTAAAGTGAACAGCCTGTTTGCCGTTAGTAAATCAACCCTGAAATGTCCAGTCTTGAGGAAAAAGAAAGAAAAGTGGGGGACTTGACTGAAACCTTTAAATACATGAAGGGTTCAAATAAGGTTCAACGGGGGATTTTTGTCAACGTAATCTCAGACTAGCAGGAGGAAATGTTAAAATTATCTTAGAAGGTATTGTTATACCAAAAGATTAGTTGATGCTGGGAACAGACTCCCAAAGGTAGTGAGTCAGTCAACAGTAATTGAATTTAAACAAGCTTGAGACAAACATGGAACTATAAAAAAAGGTTAAAACAATTGAAAAAGGGGCACACACTTGATGGACCACTTTTTCCTACCATCAATGCTCTATGTTTCTATGCTTACATGGTAAATTTACTGCTTCTTCAAATGGAAAGGTGCAGAGCTCAGGTAGTTTGAGGAACGTTTATATAGTCTTCTCCCTGAATGAACCTGACACTTCCAGCTGGGAACAAGACACAGGACAGAGCTAAGGAACCCTGGATGGCCTAGGGACATATTGACACTTGATGGACCCAGACATCCCAACTCTCCCGGACTTTCCGGGACTCTCCCGCTATTAGATAGCGGCTCCCGGCCGTCCGGGAGAGAAGCATTTTCTCCCGGAAAGGTTTACTTTGCTCTATCTAGCAAAATAAACCTTTCCCTGCTGTCTGTCTTTTTTTTTCTGACCTTGGGGCCACGAGCTGCCGTCAGTCAGAGAAAAAAAAAAACAGCATCAGAATGAATAGCTAGGCTTCTATTGGCTATTTCACTTTGCAATAGCCAATAGTAGACTAGCTATTGCACCCGCCCACTGCTGCTGTCAATCAGCAGAGGTGAACCTGAAGTTCTCCATCAGGTCCACCTCTGCTGATTGACAGCAGCAGAGGGCGGTTGCAATAGCCAGCTTGCTATTGGCTATTGCAAATTGGAATAGCCAATAACAATCTAGCTATTCATTCCTTTGCTGTTTTTTTTTAAATTCTGACGGCAGCAGCTGTCGGGATACTAAAAAAAACAAACCAGCAGATAGCACAAGAAGCAAATTCCTGAAATGAGAAGGGCACCACCCTGAAATTACTTTTTTTTAGGTTGAGATCCCTGTGGACCACTTGATGGGGATCACTTTTTCTTGGCAACCATTATATGAAAGGAGATGTAGTTTATGTAGTTGATATAGTCTATGGTAGCTGAGCAAAGGTATATCTAGGCTCTAGTTATCTCAATGTCTAGGAAAGATCATGCCCCTTTTTTTAAAAGAGCTTTTAGCTCAACCCCCCCTGAGGTCCTCAACCTTTTCCTATAAAGAGGCTCTAAGGACCAGGTATCCATTTTACTAGGTCCTCAATGACATGTTTGCCACTATGGGACCCCCAGTAACACTCATTAGAAAAAAAAAACCCAGCATGGCTGACAAAATGGATAAACCCGGTATTTCTGGGACTCACTTTGGGGTTCTTGTCCACATAAAAGTCTTGAATACCAGCATTCACTAATACATGATAGCCTTCATTAATACATTATTGGTTGGACTCTCCATAAAACATAATTATCAGTGTAATTGTAGGCCTGCACTTACTTGCAAGGTGGTTTAGGATCCCCTTCATATTGCTTAAGGGGAAGTGGCCTTGTTAAATTTACATGTTTTTTAAACCTCCTTTTAAGGGAAACGTGTAATGTATTTTCAGTGAGCATGTATTTTAAGTTATTATTGCAGTTGACATTTATTATTTATTGTTTACATTTATTATTTACATTCAGAGTGATATTCTAAATACCAAAGTGATATTTTATGTATAAGTGGAGCCTGGTGGGCAAAGTCAGTGAGATCTCCCTGCCATAAATCCCAACTCTGTTCCTAGGCTCTCCACCTGCGACTTTTGCTCTTCCCCCGTCCATCTTTGGTGTGTTCCAGCGCCTCACCTTACATACTTTAATGCATAATAATAAAAACAAATCCAGAAGAGATGGGGGTAGACCCTCATAAAGTGCAAATCAGGCGTGCAGCCTTTGGAACTCACTCAAGAACTAACCTGGGAACTCAGCAGAGATCTCACCAAGAGATCTATTTTTGAGACACACCACCTATTTCTGGACAAAATAGTGCTTAGGCACAGCTTGTTGGTCATATGAATGATCCATGGTTTATCAGGCAATGAACAATATGTTCTGTGTGTGTTCATCTTTTGCCTACTTTATGTTGTTTGAATCCTATATAATGATAAATATTGTTTCTTATGCTACAGATAAAGCCAATTTGGTAAAGCAGCCCCCAGTGGCAATCCTACCTCTCGGGACCGGCAATGATTTGGCAAGATGCTTGAGGTGGGGAGGAGGTAAAAAAATATATATATTTTTTATCTCTTTAGAGGTACGTTAATGCATGGCTAGTGTTAGCATAATAAAGTGTGATTATTGTTGAACTCCTTTGCCAAAGGGCCAACAACTTGATCATTAGCAGTACTTTGGGGCATGAGTAAAAATGTCTGGTAAAGTTGCAACTTGGTAACCAAGAGGCTTAAGTGTTAAAAGAAACAAATTTAAAAATGTGAAAAAAGCATGTGTAAAAGGAAGCCTTGGCACAGTGATTACATGATCGCTGGAACAAACTCTTAAGAACCTGATATCCAGACAGAGCCAAGCTATTATGTAATCATATTGACCAACAGGGGCCAGCTGTCAATGCCACATCACTGGTCATATGCCACATGATTCCCTGGCTGTCTGTAAACAAAGCAGTCAGGGATCTCTCATTTTGTGATGGTAGTTTGGTGCATCGGTAGAGTGGCCATAGTGTTACCTCTGATACATGACATTTCCCTGGCCCTGTGCCAGGGTGACCCACTGCCTGACAATGTCGCCCCGCAGCACCAATGCCAAACAATGACAGATCCCTAGGCAGCTTCTGTTTGTAAACAAACCAGCCGTGCATGCTGGGTGACATCATTGACCAAATATGGTTATGACTATATATGGTCAATACTGCCACCCAGCATCCCCTGCTGGTTTTCTTTATAAAAAGAAGCTGGCCAAGGATCTGTCAATTACCAGTGGTAGTCATGGAGATCTCAGGCCAAGTTGTTTACAAATAGCAGGTGGTCATTCATGCCGGCGAGCTGGTCAAAAGTGGCGGTTTGTCGAGCCTAAAGCTTATTCTTAGTAATAACAGAGGGCAAAGTGGAAACTTAAAAAGAGATTGTCATTGCCTAGAACTATAAAGCCACATTCAGTGTTGTAAAAATAAAAGAGGAGCACTTACAGCTGTGTCCTCTATCCGTGCCTCTGTTTCTGAGCAGTCTATTGTGGAACTTCCAACACTACCCAAGTGTTTTGGAGGCTTCTTAATCCTGTCAACTCATAGCTGCCCCCCACACCCAGCACTAATGTCACTGAAGCTACCTGCTCAGTCTGACCTAGCAAGAAGAATAGACATACTACAGTACTTTGTGCGAGAAGACTTAGCAGCCCATTATTATGGGGCATCTCAGCAAGCAGTCAAAGGTGATGGTTCAAGGGTGCACATCATCAGCAGGGAGCACTATACAAAGCAATGAGAGGCTGACAGCGCCTGCAGCCCTTTACATCTGTAGCAGTCATCTGTAGGTAATCCTTGCATGCAAGTAGCCATGAACAGCTGCAGATGAGAAGCAATGTGCAAAGCAATGAAAGGCTGACAGCACCCACAGTCATTCCCACGTAATTGGACATTCAGCAATTACCCAAGCATGATTGCCTCTGGACGCAAACAATTCACATCTAGGGCAAACATTTGATTACCTGCAACTTATTGCCCCTAGATGCAAATTGTTTGCCTCTGCATGTCTGATTACATGGGAATGGCGGCTTGCAGCCAATCTGACACGTAGCGATTACCTGCAAAGTATTGCTCCTAGATGCAAACAGTTTGTGTCCAGGGGCAATCATGCGCAGGTGATAACTGCATATCTGAATACATGGGAACAACTGTGAATGCCTGCGGGCGCTGTCAGCCTCTCATTGTTTTGTATAGCACAGCTGTTCTCACAAACACCGCTGAGTCTCATGGGGAACTCAATTGTGTGTAGGGCATTAGATAGCAACAGCTTATCTTTAATAGCCTGCAAATCTTAACCTTTGAGCTTCCAATGTTTGATTTATTGATTGACAAAACTGACATTCAACATTCTGAACTTGCTTTCCTTCTACAGGTTATGAGGGTGAGAACCTTCTGAAGTCTCTTAAAGACATAGAGAACGGGACAGTCATTCTGCTGGATCGATGGAAGGTTGATGTAATCCCAAATGACAAAGATGAAAAAGGAGACCCAGTGCCTTACTCCATCATAAACAATTACTTTTCTATTGGAGTGGTAAGACTTTTTTTTTTAACACTAAACAGCCCCGATGCTGGCGACGTACACTGTACGTCGTCAGTCACGAAGGGGTTAACCTAGAAATTAAGATTACATTCATTGTAGCTTACCAGTTCTTGGATGTGGTGGCTGCATTATTTATTTATTACATTTTTTTTTAATTCTAAGGAAAGCTTAGTCCTAAAAGAACTCCAGGCAGAATAAAACTTAACCTTTGCAGCTGGGCTAGCCCTGCACTGCAAGGGTTAAGTGCTCGTTTTCGTCTAGGGTCTAAAATAATATAAATATACCCACCCGAAACCTGGTCCAGTCTGGCTGTAAGAACAGTCCCTTCAGCCTCTCCAGCGAAGGTATGTCCCTTGGCATCCTCACGTCTAATGCAACGTATAGGACGTGATGGCTCATGCTATCCTTAGACCGCTAGAGCATGGGGAAGAGAGGCTGAAGGGTCCGGTCTAGCAGCAAGGCAGGGACAAGGTTTGGGTGAGTATATCTTTGTTATTTTAGACCCTAGATGAAAATTAGCACTTAACCCTTGCAGTGCATGGGGTAGCCTTCACTGCAAGGGTTAAGTTTTATTCTTCCAGGAGCTCTTCTTTAAGGTTTAAAGTAGAGATGCACCGATACCGATACTAGTATCTGCGATACTTACCTCCAATACCAGAACTTCCAGTCAGAGGGAGATCACCCTCTGACTGGCAGTGCTGAGGGAGCATGGAGCCAGCTTCCTTTCCGATCAGGAAGCTGGGCGGTGAGTTATGACCAGCCCCCCGGCTTCCTGATTGGCTAGGAAGCCAGCTTAACTTGTTGCTAGGCAGCCTGACTTCCTAACCAATCAGGAAGCTAGGCAGCTTGTAATTACCCGCCTACCGGCTTCCTGATTGGTAAGGAAGCCAGTCTGCCTAACAACAAGTGAAACCAGCTTCCAAGCCCACCAGGAAGCCAGGAGGCGGGTCATGATCTGCCACGCGGCTTCCTGATCGTCTAGGAAGCCGGCTTCACTTGTTGCTAGGCAGCCTGGCTTCATGACCAATCAGGAAACTGGACAGCACCTCACGACCCACCGCCAGGCTTTCTGATTGGTTAGGAAGCCAGGCAGCCTCGGCAAGGGAAGCCGGTGTTCAGTCGATAGAACACCGGCTTTCCAGGCAATCAGGAAGCTGGGTGTCAGGTCATGATCCGCTGCCCGGTTTCCTTATAATTGGAGCACATGGCACCAGGATCGGTACTCGGTAATGGCAAGTACCGCAAACAAAACTATCGGTACCCATACTCGATACTCAAAAAACCAGTATCGGTGCATCCTTAATTGATATATTAATAAATGTGGGGAAAATAATTTAACTTGTACATTATCATTCCCCAATCATAGCTGCAGCTCTGGTCCACCACTGTATCTGTGCATTCAAAATAAGGAAATTGGCTGAAAGTCATTACATTTCCTTTATGAGTTTACATTTTCTTAGGTGATCCTAAAGTTATACTTTAATAAATAATCTGTTTCTGTTTTGCTCTTTTTCAAGGAGTTTAAAGCAGTTTACTCATTTTTTCTCCAGTCCAGTTATTTTAACTATGAAACAAATTAATCAATATAACTGCAAAATTCCATGTTTGAATTTGTGATCTTGAGAATATTTCTTACCTGTTACCTTATCCTTTTTTTAAAAATTAAAAATGTCTCGGCAAACCTATGTACCCGCTTGCATGTTGCCAAAAGCACGGGCGATATTAATACCTCCTTTATAACATATTAAAGTGTCAAATGCAAAATGAGACCTTGAGGTCTCATTTGCACTAGAGAATGTTTTTTCAAAGAGGATACAAAGCCCATGACCCAATTCCCCAGCTCACATCATTGTGATATTTCATCTTAATAGACATAGGATAAATGCCAATTATATACCGAAAAATATTTTTATCTTCACATTTTTGTATTTTGTCTCGCTATGCAGATTACAACCTGGATTTAAAAGCTTACTTAACATTTTGTGCAAAAAAAAAAAAATGTAGTAAGGAAATATTTGAAAAGATTTCCCTTTGTTCGTATCTTATTACCAGAAAGTGGGGACATATTTCCATGCTAACAGCCAATTGTAAAATAGGGCAGGGTACACTTTTTTTTTTTCATGCTTAAGTAGATGTACGGCTCTCTTTAAAATTCCCAAATGTAGATTTGCCTAGAAGTACAAGTGTTTTTCCGAATCGTTTCGGAATGATTTTCTTCCATGGTTAGATTGTTGTGGACCCTTTTTACAAGGTCAGAAACCCAAATGAGATAAATATTTAGTCTAACTAGTAAAGCCTAACCCATGGGCTAGTTTATTAAAGACGTAATTTTCAGCAAAATTTCTTTCTTTTAAATCCTCTTGAACTTCAAAAGTAATGGCAGCTGCTAAAATCAATCAGTTAACAGCTAACCTGATCCTGTAATCATCACAAAATCTAGATAGGTTACCATCAATCTGTGCTGTAGGGTCTGCTGTAATGTAATGAAAGATTAAGAGTCTGCGACGAACATGGCCAACTTTTTGCTGAACAACCAACTGTAAAGAGAAAGATACAGTTCAACTTTTCTTCGATGGTGGTGCTGCAGAGTCTTCTGTGATCTAATGGTCGACTAAGAGCCCGCAATAAACATTTGCTATGTTTTGCTGAATAACCGATAGTGAAGAGAAAGTTACAGTGCAACTTTTTCACTTAGCTTGAGCAAGCCAAGGCACCTTTCTTAGGCAACTTGTCGCTAAGAGCTAGGCACACAGTCTTCAGGGGGGGTGCAGCCGGGGTTTTCTGTAATCTAATGGTGGATTAAAAGTTCGCAATAAAAAATGTAAACCATTGATGAACAAGCAATAGTGAAGAGATAGTGCAGTTCAACTTTTTTCACTTAGTTGAGCATACCAACGAGCATTCCTTAGGCAACTTGTCCCTAAGGGTTAAGCACCTCGTCTTTGATGGTGGTGCCACTGGGTCTTCTATAATCTAATGAGAGATTAAGATCCTGCAATAAACATTTGCAACGTTTTAATTAGGGATGCACCGATACCAAGTACCGTATTCGGTACAAGTACAAGTACAGATACTTTTTGAGCTCCAAGACTATACTAAAGAAAAATCCAAAAGTTAGGAGGCCGCTGTCATTTGTAAGGAGCACACGGAGCTCCTGGGATTTGTACATCTCTGTTTTAATGTATGATTTAGTTTTTATAAATATAACAAAAGGGGTGCACTGATACCAGCTTTGTAAGTACAAGTACTGATACATTTTTGTTTATTGTCATGTGACAGTTTTTCTAATACAATGATGAATAATGATTTCAGGGCAGTGGTGGAGTGCCAGAGCCGTGTCCCAACTGCAACCCTGGTAGTTCTCATGAAAATGCCAAGCATCGGCACTGGTATCTGCAAAGTATCAGTGCATCCCTAGTTTTAATGAACAACCCATAGTGAAAAGAAAATAACAGTGCAACTTTTTCACTTAGCTGAGCAAGCCAAGCAACCTTTCTTAGGCAACTTGTCCCTAAGAGCTAAGCGCATCGTCTTTGATGGTGCTGGTGCCAGGTCTCCTGTAATATAAAGATGGATGAGGAGTCTGCAGTAAACATTTGCAGACATTTTTTGATGAACACCCAATAGTGAACAAAATATTACAGTATGACTATTTCACTCTGGTAAGCAAACCATGGAACCTAACTTGGATAACTCAGGCTAAATTGCTGCAAGTACAGAAAATACTCACGTATTGTCAGGAGTGCCAATGGTTTGGCAGAAGAACAAAGTGGAACTCACTGGCAGGAAATGGCCTGAAGCGTCTGAAGGCAGAGGTACAAAAGGGTTAATCCAAAGAGAAGTCAAGTCCAATCCGAGTCGAGGCAGGCAGCAAAGGTTCAGGGGCGAAAGGCAGTCCAAGGTCGGCAACAGGAGGTCCAGATAAAGGGGGTCAGGAAACAAAGCAAGGCACATGTACAGGGAGCTAGGAAATCACACCACAGGATGAGATAACTCAGCAACAAGCCAGAGCTCTGGCCAGGTTTTTATAGCCAGGGGGTGTAAGTCCGCCCCCCTGTCACCGAGGCAACTAGGAGGCTTCTCTTCACGAGAGCCAATGGCAGGCGAGAGGTGGTAGGGGTGTATACGGGAACCTCCCCCAGCTAGGTCCACACCTGAGGCCTAAACAGGTGCAGGCACACTATGCACGTGCTCCTGGTGATGCGCGCACAGCCTGCGTACTGCGCATGCGCACCTGCCGCACGACTCGCGCATGCGCACCTGCAACCCGGGCGCCAGTGGTTCTGCCAGGCTGGAGGGAGACCCGTACCCTGCGCCGTGCCCGCTGACCCCTCTCCTCCCTCTGACGTGTTGTGTCCACTACTGGGGCTTAATTGTAGAGCTCTGATGGTACCTGTTACCAGAAATGCACTGTCTATGTCAATTCCTGTGAGCTAAACAGAAAGACAAAAACAATATTATCCTGATTCTGTAAACTACTAATATTAACAGTCCCCATGTAATGGAGGTGATTGAAGGCAGACACGTTCAAGTCCAGCCTGGGTCACAACCACGCCTCCCTCCACAGTGGGGGAATGAGGTAAGCAAGCCCCCCCCCAAAAAAAGAAGCCTAAGGCAAGCACCACATATAAGGACTGGTTAATCTAAAATATATACAATGTTTGATTTTGGGTTTAGATACACTTTATATTGTCCCTAGGAACTATGCATACTGTCTGTGGTGGTAACATTTTGTGGGTCTTACAGTAGCTTACAATACTGAACCCAATTCCCAGTTTTTCACATTCTCTCGGTTGTGCTGTACCCTACTTGGTCAGGCGGTGAGACTTCTAAGGGAGGACCCTGATCCAAGACTCATTGCCAAAAACTTTCATGGTCATGACTTTCAAAATAATTTTGAGGATCCTCATTAGGTCCTTAAGTAAAATTATTTTGGCACTTTGGGATTTGCAAAACAAATACTCCCCCAACCTCTTGTGGCCTTGGCAGGA